GAGAAATGTTTTTGTAACATTATTAAAACAAAGAACAGGTTTCAAAAAATTACATTTAAAACCTTTTCAGTTAAAAATAAGAGCTTTTGAGAGTAATTTGTAGTCTGTTTGCAAAAAAGTTTGTTATGCAATTATATATTTAAATACCTACCCCAGTGGGGGTGGTAAATGTGTAATTTAATCAAATAATATTTGAACCAACTTGCCCTGTGTTAGAAAATCAAATGACAGTATGAACTGAGCCCAAATCACAGTCAGATCACAGAGGTAAATGAAACTCTGCACATTTATGGAATAAATTTACCACAGCGTCCATTCAGAAGCGTTTTTTAAAAGCTGCAAGTCAAACTTATTTCTGTTAAAAACTCTTGACTAAACTAGTAAAACTCAGCTAAGCTAAGCAACTATTTAGACAAAAAATAAGAAAAAAATTGTTGAAAACCATAATTAATAGAATGATGCAAAGATATTACAGCTGGATTTATGTTTGAGAATCAGATTTTTACAAATGCAATTCTTTATAAATCCTGTTTTCAACACTTTAGCCTCCGTGTTTATGAGTGACCTGTGAGTGAACCAACCGGAAAGCAGTTACTAACATCCACACAAGGCAGACGCATTTCTATTGGTCCAAAAAACAGACTTATACAAAGAGGGTGATAAAGACTAGAAAATAATTAACTCATAAAAAATCCGAGTTGTCTGGCGCTAAAATAAAAAAAATAAACATTTAAAATATGATCTGAAAAAACACCAAATCGTTAAAAAAAAAAAAAACTGGTTGAACTTTTGTATACAAATAAATTATTCTCAAAACTTTGTTTAATTGAGAAGTTTTTAAGCTTTTAATAATATGGGATTGAATTTCTCTGCATAGGACAGCCAGATGGAAAGCAACAGCTTTAATCTGCCAGAACCTTGGATTATTTATATTAGGCATTATATAAACTCTGAAATAGCTTTACCAATGTCAATAGCAGATGCTATGGCAAGAGCAACCAGGGCTTCGTTCTGCATGATGACATGCTCGCTTGTTGCCATAGCGATAAGGTGTCTGACCCCATCTGCCCCAGCCACAGCACGGACAACTTCCTGTTAGAAAAAGGAAACAAAAGCACCAATAAGAGACGTTTTAGAGAGCCTCATCATTATCGAGTCGGGTCAGAACCAACGAGCCGGTCAGAGTTAGGAAGCTCACAGGGCTGCGGCTGTGCCTGATCAGGGCGGCCAACAGGCGACTGGCTTCTCCTCGGACACCTGCGTGGTCCTTGGCTTCACACCACTCCATGATCCGTGCCAGCAGCACCGCATCTCTGCCCAGCTTTAAGGCTGCCCCTTCTGGAACAGACACCAGAGGATGCTGGGAAATTCACAATAAATCCAAAAACGTCAAACGTTTAAAAGAGAAGTCGCTATAAGCATGCTTGGTGTGAGGGATTGGTAAAGAGTCAGTGAGTCGACGCAATTAACTGGTTTTCCTTAGATAGAAAAGATTGAATCAATTTGACTGTTTGATCTGGTTGAATTGTAAAGTGCCTTGAAATGACATGTTGTGAATTGGCGCTATAGAAATATACTGAATAGAATTGAATAGGGACCAAATGCAGTCACATCTCAAGTCAGAAAGTTTGAATCTCTGTTTTCATCAGTAAAGTAAAGTTATAGCCTGGCAGAACTCATAGATGAAGAAAATCCTCTTGGGTCAAACCAGCTGTACCAGAAAGTCCATGGGCGGTATAGAACCAGGCGTACCGGGCGGCCATGTGTGGAATCGGTGCAGCGGTTTCCTCACCTTGCCCGTCCACCATCATGCGTAGCGTTCCCAGCAGTTTGAACTGAACCGGGGGCATGTCCGTACGCAGCAGAGCCTTTATCCTCTCAGTCACTCCGTCCTCCAGCATCCTCACTTTGTTGGTTGCTGAAACACAGAAAAGGTGCAGGTGTCTTATTGAAGATAGTGTCTGTGTTTATGTTACCCAGCATGCAGCTGTTCTGAAGTACACCTGATGCAAACAGCAGGACATCTATCCAGCTTTAGGACTTTTGTGTTGAGTTTCATGTTTTGGTGTTTTTTCTTGAAGTCAGATGCCGTTTAAAAGTGGCTGAACAGTGTTTCCTGCAGTGGGGTTGTTACATATAGAAGCTGAAATACCATAGACAGGACAAACAGTGTTACTGTGTGCTTGGAGGAGTACCGGGAATGGCCAGGTTCCTCAGTGCGCTGAGCCCGGCATGTTGAACAGAGACGTCCCCCTCATCTACGTGCTTCTCCAGCAAAGTCAGGATGTGTGGAACCACACCGAGGTCCAGCATCTTCACGCAGTTACTGTCTGAACAAACACAGTGGGCAAAATCCAAAGTCATCCTCTGACATCCACAAAACATCTAACAACATAACTTTAGCCGCTTGCAGTAAGACATGTTCTATAAATTATTCAAAACACAAATCTAAAACCTTAAAAAGGTTCTATTTAAGTGATTTCTGGATCCTTTGTTTTTGTCCTGTTTAGCCAATATAGCTCTGGGAATAGATATCCCTGAGCTAACTGATAGCCCAACAGCTTAGCTTTCACAAGCAGACCAGAATGACATGAGGTTCTGCTCGGTACTTCAATTCAATTCACTTTATTTCTATAGCACCAATTAAAAACACACGTCATATCAAGGTGCTTTACAGTTCACCAGATCATCCAGTCAGATTGATTCAAAGTTTTCTATCTAAGGAAAACCAGTTGATTGTATCGACTCATTGACTTAAAGGTAATCCCTCACACTAAGCATACTTGTAGCGACAGTGGAGAGGAAAAACTCCCTTTTAACAGGACTGGGGTTCAAGGAGACAGAAGCAGAAATACAAAAGGCAACTGTCAACCAGCTCCATAGTTGTATATTAAACTTTATTGAACATTATTTGGGGAGTCATTTTTGGATACTAAAGGTAAAGTAGTTCTAGTGGCTGGATAAGGGTGCAGGTATGTTCTCCTAGGAGACCAGGTTGGTTTGGATGGCTAGTTTACTTTTAATATAAAAAATGTAAGTAACTTCCTATCTTGATACCTGTTCAGGTAGTGTTTGTACTTTTAGCTCTTGAAGACACATTCTTTGTTACGTCTGAACATGAAACTTATGATGTGTTTAGCTTCTTCATGTTAAGGCCTGAACACACCGGCTGTGTACGACTTTTTAAATCTCCAATCCGATTGTTTTCCATGTCACACTGACTGCCAGAGGTGGAAAGTAACGAAATACATTTACTTAGTTACTGTATTGAGTAGGTTTTTTGTGTATTTTGTATTTTTCAAGTAGTTTTTAAAATCGCTAATTTAAATGTTACTTGATTATGTTTTGAGTGAAGTATTGTATTTCGTTACATTACAAATCCTATCCGTTACTGAGTAAAAAAAATACTTTGGAAAATCGAAAGGAAGACAAAAAATCGGGCCCAGAAGCACTACAGTGAGTGACGTGATCAGCATGTAGATCTAGGCTACCAGGCGCCAAGTCTTTCTGTAGGAGATTGGGAACAAGATGGATCAGGAGAGCGACGACGGTTCAGAGAACGTTTCACTAGAAATGCTAGC